TGACTGACAGGATTTGTGGGTCCATGCGGTACTACTATCAATATCACTGGTGCTCACACTCTGTGACTCCTTTACAGTGTTCAGCTGCCTCGTTCCAAGAACTGCTGCAGTAACTTCAACTGTGGGATTGACATGTTTCTCGTCTGGGCGCAAACGAAGCTTCCATTATCCTCGTAGGTGACCTTCCAATAGGCCACAGCAACAAGTGCAGATTGACTGGCATCTACAGAAACGTGCAACGCTGTAGTTCGTACAGGTAAACATTCAAAATAATGGCGAGGGCCCAATGCAGTTTCCGCTACTGGTGAGCAGGATACAAGCTGGCCTAGCTCGAATCTAGCGTTCGCAATTATCGAGTGAGAACTCGAGTAAAAACGCAACATAATGACAGTCGATGATGCCCCATCTGCTCTCGGATCAGTATGCCTAAATAGTTTGGCATTCACTGTTTTATGGTAAAACGCAGAGCTCGGCAAACAGGCTGCACCGAATGTCATTACGTTCATTTCGTAGTCATCAGGTTTCTTGGTGTCGTTGCTATTTCTCCACAGCTTTCTGCTGGGAACATCTGTCCTCTGGTCGGATTAAATCTTGATGCAACATATCCATAATGTCGCCATAAACTGCGACGGCTTCATCTAGTTATACCCGTTACTCGTAGAGTAAAAGGGTATATTGTATTCGTGCAAAAGTATGTAACAGCTAGAAGGAAGCGTTTCCGACCCTATAAAGTATATATATTCTTGATCAGGGTCACTAGCCGAGTCGATATAGCCATGTCCGTCTGTCTGTCCGTCTGTCTGTCCGTATGAACGCTGAGATCTCGGAAACTATAAAAGCTAGAAGATTGGCATTTTGCAAGCAGATTCTAGGAGTTCCTACGCAGCGCAAGTTTGTTTCAAAATGGTGCCACGCCCCCTTTAACGCCCACAATCGCTTATATACGATTTTAAAAATTTAAATATTTCGGAAAAGTAAAAATGCAGTTTTATTGTGTTTATCAATACCTATCGAAATGTAGAAGAAATTTTTCAAATCGGACCATTCGTTAAAAAGTTATGCGTGATCAAAGTTTCTATCTCCATCTCCCTCGCACTCCCTTTACCTGAGTAACGGGTATCTGATAGTCGGGGGACCCGACTATAGCGTTCTCTCTTGTTTTATATTTTTGTTGAACACGCCACACAAGGATTTACCTTGTTTTCATCTCTAAAATGAAAAAGCACATCTAGCAAGGATTTGTAATGAGGCGGGCGTTCGTCCAGCGCCGAATTTGGAGATGTTCGTCCTGCTGCCAAGGCAGCGTCAAAAACCAGCCAACTCTTACCGGGCCTATTCGGGCTTTCAACTCCAAAAAGGTGGCAGATACCATAGTCGATCGCATTCCACTGACGAGATGGCTCATTACATTAGAAGGCTCTCTGGACTTCGTCCAAACCACTGAATGTTAAGTTGTCGATGCGTACCTTGTATGCCAAGGTCTCTTCGTCGATCATCGTAATGGACGTCCCTTCATCCCTCCTTCTGCATCGACACACTTCACGTTGTAGCGCAGCTCCTCTATGCCGCAAAAAAAAAACCCAGTTGCAGCTATACAAGTATTTACTACTATAAAACAGTGGCGTTTTATTCCAACAGATTTAAATGGGAAATTCGTTTGTAGTTTTATTGAGCTACAGCGTATATTCGACTACATCCATAAGTTTAGCAATCCGGCATCCTGAACTCACGGTGCAAGTTCTTCAATACGGAACTCGGCCGTCTTAATCAACGCTTTTATCTATTGGAAGAAATCAAGTCATTGCACACGAAATGATACATTTACAAGATCTCTCGCCTCGCTATTATCCTTTATTGATTAGTTTGGAGTTCTTTAACTAGATGGCTGACTGAGGAATTCTACATTTGACTCGATGATCCGAAAAGCCATGGGATCACTCTAGCACTTTTACATACTTCCATGAAGGCTACCTGCTTAAAGCAAAGCCTCGATTAGTGGAGACCATTATGGCAGACGTGTGTGGGCCATTTTTCTACAAGTCAGAGGCTTTCAACAAGCCGTCGGTAAGTGTTGGAAACGGTATGATAATGCAACACACTTTGTTGGCTCAAGAAAGGAGCTGCTTAAACTGCGATGTCTATTTCTCACCGACGACCATAAAACTCGACATTTTGTCTTATTTCTCCCAGATCGCCACACTTTTGCGCCCTTGTGAAGCTGCTGTGAAGATGGTCAAGCATCGTTTGTAATATACTGTTGTCCCCAAAGCAGCCAATTCTTATGTGCCAGATGTCCGCTGTCATTATTTGTTAACCCTTAGTCTCAATTCAGAGGATCCAGTTGACCTGAATGTCTTAAGGCAGGCTTGCACCTTGTGAGGTCAAAAAAAACAATTTTTTTTTTGTGCAGTTTCGGATACATACATGTTTCAATTTTACTCTCCTAAAATTTCAAGTCGAAATCTCTTGAATTACGAAAGTTATCGGCCGTTTGGTGGACCGGTGTCAAGCGCGTTGCCATTATAGTGAAAATTTTCAAACGCGTTTTTCTCGAAACCATTTTTCCGAGTTGGCGGAAGTCGTACAAGCCGCAAAAATTGAGCAATCGTCATGAAATTTTTTATACATGTTCCTCAGAAGTATGTGCATGGCATGAACTAGGATCTTTTGAAAATATTAAAAATTGTTTATTTAAAAAAATAATGAGTAACGAAAAAATGAGGAAAAAACCGATTTTTTTTACAAAAGCTCATAATTTTTGCATTTTTTATGTTTTTTCAATTATCCTAGTTCAAGCCATACGAACAAGTGTACAGATTAAGAATATATTCGTTTTTTGCGTTTCAGATTATTTCTTAAAATTCCAAAAAATCCGCCATGAGGACGAGTTTTTCGCGGACATGCCGCCATTGCTGGGTACTCCCCCTCCCCCCTTCGCTTGGATCGCACTCAAAAAAATTGTGTAGCTTCAATAAACTGTACCCTACAAGTGGCTAAAATTTTATTCCCATACCTAACATACTTTCCAAGAAATAAATTCCAGAAAAATATCAGGTTTTGGGCGCCAACAAGGTGCAAGCCTGCCTTAAATCAATTTATGGAATGGTGGCCTTTAACGTTCCTTGAAACTCCTTGAGATTTTATGTAACAAAATGAATATTGTTATTAATATAAATATTAATTATAAATTATTTAAAAGTACTAATCAAAATTTGTTAAAAACGTTCATTGGATTTTTGGGGCTTTGATCGTGTTTGGGATATTATATTACATCTCTATATATAAAGCTATTAGTAAGAAAACTGGGAACCAACGCAGAGCCAAAACCACTGGTTAACAATATTAATAGGCATTTTTATTACATTCTAATAACTTTAAACTGATTTGCTAAGATTTATTAGGGCTCCTCAAGTGGCCCCATTCGCTTCCAGTTGGAAAAAAGGTCAATTTTCTTTTCAAAAATTCTGGACGCTAAACCGTTTAACCAATCGAATCCGTGTTTTCGCCCAAAAATAGTTTAAGACATTATAAATGCTTAAAAATTTGACCCCTTAGATTTAAGGCTTTTTACTATTTTTAACACCCGTTCTAAAATTACAATTTAGCCAAAAATATCTTCAAACGTCGAGAAATGGCACTTCTAAACTGAGTATGAAAAATTCCTTTGGTGAAGTTTTTCCTTAAGCTTTAACGATTCATTTGATGGTTTCACCAAAGCTCTAGCTAGCTTCTAAACAAAGAAACTAAGCAAAAAGTCGATCTATTATCGAATTTAAGTGTCTCCATAAGCATCATACGTTTTCTGCCTGCATATTGCTTTCATACAAATTGTCAACAAATGATTCCGTCTCCCTCCCTCTCCCTCTGCTTTGCATTTCCCTGCTCTTCCTTAAAAATATAAAATGAGCTTTAATACGGTTTTAATTTCTGTAGACTTTAGTTTATAGTTATTGGTGACCCACCCCCCACCAAAGTGCTGTAGTATGTTCACATATCGAATGCACTCTGTACTCAGTGTTACGCATCGATTTAAGTACAGACACCTTATTTGGCATTTTGCATTTGGCCACAATAACAAAACATAAATATATAAATCTAGCAGTTCCCGAGTGCCCGGTTATATGATCGCCCTCGAATGCGTGGGAACTGCAGTGTAAGCATATTTGATATGTGCGACCGCTCCGACGGCCAAGTGAACATAGTATCTCTCTCTCTCTCATATATAAAGACAATTATACATAAACGTCGACCGCCGCTCTGCCGGCGTCTCTGCCGACATAGCCGGCCGATCTTAGCTTTATGCAAACATGTAATAGAATTAAGAAATCAGAATTGAAAATAAAAAGCTTGGGAGCGTACCTCTGAGTCGCTCCCAATTCAACAACAATTTTTTAACAAAGCCTCATAAAGGAAACATAACACATGGCGACCGTGACTAAGGTTGTAATCGATAAAAACAAAAAACATATATGTAATTTAATGTGAAAAATGTGCGTGTGAGTGCGAGTGAAATAAATAAAACGCACAAAAAGAATTTGAAAAATGCGAAAACAGTGCAAATATAATAAAGACAGCACAAAAAAATTATAACAAGAAACAACCAAATTTACGAGAGACACAAATATTTTGGAGCAACCAACAACTAAAACAACCAACGACACCTGTGCGATGACCGACACCGGTACCGCCTGAGCCCAGAGGCCCCGGACAACGAAAATTCGACAAGTGTGGAAGGAATGGCAAATCCTTCTACACCAACGCTGGAAATATATGAGTGCGGAAGGCATCCGCCTTCTTCACCTTCGTGGGCGGCACCTGCTCCTATTGAGCAAAGGGATGCACAGAGACTAGAAGTGTATCCCAACGATAGATGAAATAGCCTGTGGCGCGGTCCCGTTCGAGCGCCAAGCCGGACCACGGAAAGTGAACCGACAGCGCTTCCAAGAGCGCCCAACATTACTTTTTTTTTATATAAATTTAAGCATCTGCTACGCAAAAATAATATTAATAATATTGTACAGACCAGGCAGACCCGTTTAAAAAAACATAAATAAAAATCATTAAAAAAAAAAAAGAAAATTATTAAAATGAATACAACAGAGTGCCTTACAGTTACATTGGCTAACGAACCAAATTTTGAGAATAGGGTATTAGCCTTAATTAGGAACAGAGCAGAGCCTCTATTAATTGCAGAATTTGAGTACGAATATATATATATATATATATATATATATATATATATAAAATGCACAAGTAGGGAAAAACAAAAATGATGACTAAAAATTAAATATGGAATGGGAGCAATTAATACTCCATATCCGAGAATTAAAAGAAACATTTGAAAAGTCTTACAAATGTGTAAGCCAAAAAAGGCAAACACAAAAAGAAACAGTAGATAAACATGCAAAAATTCTTGTAGACTCTTACAATCAGGTAAGAACCCTAGTGCATGAAAATAGGGAAATAATTAACAAGACAAACTTATCAAAATTATCCAAAATATTGATAAGGTTGCAGGCAAACCTAATAACTGTCAAGGATAAGTATGATTTAAAAATATATATCCCGACAATTTTCAATACGCCTTTAACATTAGACCAACAAAAAGCCCTAGCAGAAGAAGAAGATTCAGATACAAGCAAAGATATCGAAATAAATGAAAAATATCTACACGATCTCTCAATCCCTGCATTTATTACAGCAGAAGAGTCAGAAACAGAAGAAGACGAAAATATAGATTAAGATACAAATATAGTAGAAACAAAAGAAAACATAATGACAGATCCAGCTGCCCAACGGGCATATGTTAAAGAAATATCAAGTGCCATTCCGGAATTTAACGGACAAAAAATACACTTGCAAAGATTTGTAACAGCTTTGAAGCTGGTTGACCTGACAAAGGGAACGTTTGAATATTTGGCTGTAGAAGTCGTCAAATCAAAAATTGTAGGATCTACACTATATAAGGTTCAAAACAAGAAAGGAAAGCTAACTTCGGGCGGAGCCGAAGTTGATATACCCTTGCAGAATACTCTGTAAATTATATTCTCCAAAATTATTCATATGATGCATTCTTAATACTCATAAAAAATCCGAACTTCCTAACTTTAACAACAACAAAGTTATGGCATTTCCAATCGTTCAGTTATATGGCAGCTATAGGATATAGTCGGCCGATCCTTATGAAATTTGGTGGGTCGGATTGATTGGCCAAATATAAAACCCATAGAAAATCCCAACTTCCTAACTTTACAAACACGAAAGTTATGGCATTTCCGATCAATCAGTTATATGGCAGCTATAGGATATAGTCGGCTGATCCTTATGAAATTTGGTAGGTCGGATTGATTGGCCAAATATAAAACCCATAGAAAATCCCAACTTTCTAACTTTACAAACGCCAAAGTTATGGCATTTCCGATCAATCAGTTATATGGCAGCTATAGGATATAGTCGGCCGATCCTTATGAAATTTGGTAGGTCGGATTGATTGGCCAAATATAAAACCCATAGAAAATCCCAACTTCCTAACTTTACAAACACGAAAGTTATGGCATTTCCGATCAATCAGTTATATGGCAGCTATAGGATATAGTCGGCCGATCCCGGCCGTTCCGACTTATATACTGCGTGCAAAGGAAAGAAGGGTGTGTGCAAAGTTTCAATCCGATAGCTTTAAAACTGAGAGACTAGTTTGCGTAGAAACAGACAGACGGACAGACGGACATGGCTATATCAACTCAGGAGGTGATCCTGATCAAGAATATATATACTTTATAGGGTCGGAGATGTCTCCTTCACTGCGTTGCACACTTTTGACCAAAATTATAATACCCTCTGCAAGGGTATAAAAATGAACTAACGATAAAATCAATAATCCAAAAACTGCAAGACACTATTGTCGGTGAAACATCTGACGTTGTCAAAGCCAAAATGGCTAAAACAAGCCAAAAAGGCAAAACAGCAGAAAAATTTACAAATGAAATAGACAACCTACGAAAGCTCCTTGAAGCCTATACACACAAAAAGGAAACAACTATCGTGGTAATAACTTCAGAAATAATTATCGCGGTAGGGGTAACAACAGAGGTAATTATCAAAATAATGGATATTACCAAAACAATGGTTATAACCAAAATAACGGTTATAACCGAAACTATAATAACCAGACCAACAGTAACTACAGAGGTCGTGGTAATTATAGAGGAAACAACCGTGGTGGAAACAATAATGGATATAACTCCAATAACAACGCCAATGGTAATAACGATACCAATACAAACGCAAACAGACAAAATAACAACAATAATGTCCGACAAGTACAAACAACTTCGGAAAACCAATAAAGACCCTTAAGATAAAAAACCCAGTAAAGAATATGGTTCACACTATCAATCTTAATCTTCTTAAATCTTAATCTTAATTTCACTTAAAAATGAAAACACAAATAAATTATATACATTACTAGTTGATACAGGTGCAGACATCTCTTTAATCAAAGAATCCTCAGACTCATTTAACAATGTTGACTATAAAAATATTACGCAAATATCAGGCGTTGGTGAAGGAACAACAAATTCAAAAGGTTTAGCAGCAATAGAACTTCTATCAGGCAACTATGCCATACCACATAATTTCCATATAGTAACGTCCAACTTTCTTATTCCATGTGATGGAATTTTAGGAATAGATTTCATGAAAAAATACAATTGTCAAATAGATTTAAAACCAGAAAACGATTGGCTCATACTGAGACCAGATAACCTCTATAATCCGATTAATATTCCGATAAATCATACACTCGAAAATAATTCGACAATTTTACGAGCTAGATCTGAAGTCGTCCGAAAAATAACTATAAATTCAGCAACCAGGTATATATTAATACCAAACCACGAAATCCAAAATGGTGTATTCATTGGAAATACCATTGCAGATTCTAAAAACACCTTTGTCCGAATTCTAAATACAACAAATAAAACAGCAATTCTTCAATTAAATACACTTAAAGTCGAACCATTGGATAATTACGATATAATTAAATCCAATAAAAATACAAATAAAGAAGAAATCTTAGAAAAACTTAACAAAAATTTCCCGCCTCAATTTAAAGAAATACTTAAAGAATTATGCACCAAATACACAGATATATTCGGAATAGAAACCGAACCGATATCAACTAATAATTTCTATAAACAAAAAATAAGAATGAAAGATGATGCACCAGTATACATAAAAAACAAGAGAGAACGCTATAGTCGGGTGCCCCGACTATCAGATACCCGTTACTCAGGTTAAGGGAGTGCGAGGGAGATGGAGATAGAAACTTTGATCACGCATAACTTTTTAACGAATGGTCCGATTTGAAAATTTTCTTCTTCATTTCGATAGGTATTGATAAACACAATAAAACTGCATTTTTACTTTTCCGAAATATTTAAATTTTTAAAATCATATATATTGATTGTGGGCGTTAAAAGGGGCGTGGCACCTTTTTGAAACAAACTTGCGCTGCGTAGGAACTCCTAGAATCTGCATGCAAAATGCCAATCTTCTAGCTTTTATAGTTTCCGAGATCTCAGCGTTCATACGGACGGACAGACGGACAGACGGACGGACAGACGGACAGACGGACAGACGGACATGGCTATATCGACTCGGCTAGTGATCCTGATCAAGAATATATATACTTTATAGGCTCGGAAACGCTTCCTTCTAGCTGTTACATACTTTTGCACGAATACAATATACCCTTTTACTCTACGAGTAACGGGTATAATTACAGAATCCCCCACAGTCAAAAAGAAGAAGTAGAAAAACAAGTAGAAAAACTACTTAAAGATAAAATAATAGAACTATCAGTTTCAGAATACAATAGTCCATTACTAATAGTCCCGTAATTGATTAGTAATTGATTACCGCCAAATTAACAAAAAAATTTTATCAGATAAATTTCCACTACCAAGAATAGACGATATTCTTGACCAATTAGGTAGAGCTAAATACTTTTCATGTCTAGATCTAATGTCAGGATTTCATCAAATAGAACTCGAAGATACGTCTAGAAATATAAAGTCCTTTTCCACGAGCAATGGCTCCTATCGTTTTACACGATTACCTTATGGTTTAAAAATAGCGCCAAATTCTTTCCAAAGAATGATGACAATTGCATTTTCAGGTATCGAACCTTCTCTTGTATATGGATGACCTAATTGTCATCGGTTGTTCAGAAAAAAAAAAAAAAATCTTACAAACGTTTTTAATCTATGTAGAAAAAACAATCTTAAACTGCACCCAGAGAAGTGCACATTTTTCAGACACGAAGTGACTTTTCTTGGACACAAGTGTACTGACAAAGGTACTTTACCAGATAGTAAAAAATACGAAGTAATAGAAAAATACCCAGTTGCATTTTGCAATTACTACAGACGTTTTATTAAAAATTTTTTCGATTACTCACGTCACATAACTAGATTATGTAAAAAGAATGTTAAATTTGTATGGACAGATAAATGTCAAAACGCATTCGAATACCTAAAAACCCAATTGATGAAACCCACATTATTGCAATATCCCGATTTTAATAAAGAATTTTGCATAACAACAGATGCAAGCAAACAAGCATGTGGAGCTGTTCTTGCTCAAGATTACAATAACATTCAGCTACCAGTAGCCTATGCATCAAGATCCTTTACGAAAGGGGACAGTAATAAAAATACAACAGAACAAGAGCTAGCAGCTATCCACTGGGCAATTAACCATTTTCGATCATATATTTATGGAAAACATTTCACAGTCAAAACAGACCATAGGCCATTAACCTATCTATTTTCAATGACAAATCCAAGTTCAAAATTAACACGAATGAGATTAGACTTGGAAGAATATGATTTTACTGTGGAATATCTTAAGGGAAAAGACAACCATATAGCCGACGCGCTATCAAGAATATCAACGGATTTAAAAAATATCCAGACAAATAATAAAATTCTGAAAGTCACTACCAGAAATCAAAGTAAACAGAAAAATTCCTGCGCAGGAACAGAAAAAGAAAAAATAAATTTGCCTAGGCATATTCTAAATAAAGCTTCTCAGCCCAACGTATACGAAGTCATTGTTAATGACGAGGTACGAAAAGTAGTGACCTTGCGAATAACTGATTCACTTTGCTTACTAAAGCATGGAAAAAATGTTATAGCAAGAATTGATGTTAGCGATTTGTACACCAAAGAAATTCTCGACTTAGGTCAGTTCTTTCAAAGGCTTGAAAAAGAAGCCGGTATACTTAATATCAGCCAACTCAAAGTGGCTCCGAGCGAAAAGATCTTTGAAACCATTTCAATGGAATCTTTTAAAATTATGGGCAATAAAAAATTATAATCATTAAGAGTAGCGCCGGTGACCCAATTATCAAATAATGATAAAGAGTAAGAAGCATTACTGTTTACATTCCATGATGATCCAATACAAGGAGGTCATACAGGCATAGCTAGGACATTAGCAAAAATAAAACGGCATTATTATTGGAAAAACATGACCAAAGATATAACAAAATATATAAGAAAATGTCCTAAATGCCAAAAAGCAAAGACAACAAAACATACAAAGACCCCATTAACTATCACCGAAACGCCACAAACGGCTTTCGACAGTGTAATTGTGGATACGATCGGTCCACTACCTAAATCTGAACAAGGAAATGAATACATAGTAACGCTAATTTGCGATTTAACTAAGTACCTTGTAGCAATACCAATCAGGAACAAAAGTGCAAAAACAGTAGCAAAAGCTATATTCGAAGATTTTATTCTGAAGTACGGTCCAATGAAGACGTTCATTACGGACTTGGGAACAGAATACAAAAATTCGATAATTGAAGATTTATGTAAAAACTTAAAAATCAAAAACATAATTTCAACAGCACATCATCACCAGACTGTAGGAACCGTGGAGCGAAGCCACAGAACATTTAATGAGTTCATCCGCTCATACATCTCAGTTGATAAAACAGATTGGGATGTATGGTTGCAATATTTCGTATACTGTTTCAACACAACACCCTCTATGGCACATGACTATTGTCCATACGAGTTAGTTTTTGGTAAAACATCTAATTTAGCCAAACACTTCAATAGTATAGATAATATAAAACCATTATATAACACAGATGATTACGCTAAAGAATCTAAGTTTAGACTAGAACAAGCATTTAAGAGAGCTAGATTAATGCTAGAATGCCATAAACACAAACCAAAACTTAACTATGACAGAAATATTTTGAACTTTGATTTAAAAATCGGAGACCAAGTTTTACTAAAAAATGAAACAGGGCACAAGCTAGACTATAAATACACTGGATCATATAAGGTAGAAAGTATAGAAGAAAGAGAAAACATAGTAATTTCAAATAACAAAAATAAGAAGCAAACAGTTCATAAGGATAGGTTAAAAATTTTTATTTCATAATCACTTTAATTCTCTTATATATATATCACGTATGACCATACACAATAAGAACCATACACAAAAAAACCATAATTAGATTGAAAAAAAAAAAAAATAAAATAAATAAATTATATATAAATATCACTTTTGATTCAAAACAATACTTTCTGATTCAAAACAATTTATAATAAATTAAACTACATATAAAAAAAAAAAAAAAAAAAATATTTTCATTTATATTAAATATACACCTAGAAAATAACTCCATATAATTACGTTATTTTTCAAAAGGAGGGAGAAGTAGTATGTTCACATATCGAATGCACACTGTACTCAGTGTTACGCATCGATTTAAGTACAGACACCTTATTTGACATTTTGCATTTGGCCACAATAACAAAACACAAATATATAAATCTAGCAGTTCCCGAGTGCCCGGTTATATGATCGCCCTCGAATGCGAGGGAACTGCAGTGTAAGCATATTTGATATGTGCGACCGCTCCGACGGCCAAGTGAACTTAGTATCTCTCTCTCTCTCATATATAAAGACAATTATACATAAGCGTCGACCGCCGCTCTGCCGGCGTCTCTGCCGACATAGCCGGCCGATCTTAGCTTTATGCAAACATGTAATAGAATTAAGAAATCAGAAATGAAAATAAAAAGCTTGGGAGCGTACCTCTGAGTCGCTCCCAATTCAACAACAATTTTTTAACAAAGGAAACATAACACAGTGCCCCGCTAAACCAAACGATACCGTGTTTTCGCTAAAAAATAGTTAAAAGCATACTAAATGTTTAAAAAATATGACGGCTTTAATTTTTAACTTTTTACTTTTTTTAATACCCGATTAAAGAGTAGGCGTCTTATCCAGCAGACGCTTGCATATATATATCTCCATCTCTTTTCCACCCCCTGAATTTGCTTTATGATTATCATTTTTTTCTTCGAAATACCATTACAAAAAATAATTAAAGTTGGTATAACTATATTTTCGCAATCCAATACCAAATAGTAATTTCTTGAATATGTTCAAAAAAAATACACTCAAAAGAATGAAATATACATATGCAAAAGCCCACACAGAAATACACACATGTATTCGATCCACCAAGGGAATTCATTAATCTCTATATATAAAGCTATCAGTAAGAAAACTGGGAATTAGCGCACAGCCAAAACCACTGGCTAACAATATTTATATGCATTTTTATTACATTCTAATAACTTTAAACTGATTTGCTAAGATTTATTGGGGCTCCCCAAAAGGCCCCAATCGCTTCCACTTGGAAAAAAGGTAAATTTTCCTTTCAAAAATTCTGGACGCTAAACCGTTTAACATAATTATACATAAGCGTCGACCGCCGCTCTGCCGGCGTCTCTGCCGACATAGCCGGCCGATCTTAGCTTTATGCAAACATGTAATAGAATTAAGAAATCAGAATTGAAAATAAAAAGCTTGGGAGCGTACCTCTGAGTCGCTCCCAATTCAACAACAATTTTTTAACAAAGCCTCATAAAGGAAACATAACACATGGCGACCGTGACTAAGGTTGTAATCGATAAAAACAAAAAACATATATGTAATTTAATGTGAAAAATGTGCGTGTGAGTGCGAGTGAAATAAATAAAACGCACAAAAAGAATTTGAAAAATGCGAAAACAGTGCAAATATAATAAAGACAGCACAAAAAAATTATAACAAGAAACAACCAAATTTACGAGAGACACAAATATTTTGGAGCAACCAACAACTAAAACAACCAACGACACCTGTGCGATGACCGAAACCGGTACCGCCTGAGCCCAGAGGCCCCGGACAACGAAAATTCGACAAGTGTGGAAGAAATGGCAAATCCTTCTACACCAACGCTGGAAATATATGAGTGCGGAAGGCATCCGCCTTCTTCACCTTCGTGGGCGGCACCTGCTCCTATTGAGCAAAGGGATGCACAGAGACTAGAAGTGTATCCCAACGATAGATGAAATAGCCTGTGCAGCCAGCACCGGTCCCGTTCGACGCGCCAAGCCGGACCACGGAAAAGTGAACCGACAGCGCTTCCAAGAGCGCCCAACATTACTTTTTTTTTATATAAATTTAAGCATCTGCGATGCAAAAATAATATTAATAATATTGTACAGACCAGGCAGACCCGTTTAAAAAAACATAAATAAAAATCATTAAAAAAAAAAAAGAAAATTATTAAAATGAATACAACAGAGTGCCTTACAGTTACATTGGCTAACGAGCCAAATTTTGAGAATAGGGTATTAGCCTTAATTAGGAACAGAGCAGAGCCTCTATTAATTGCAGATTTTGAGTACGAATATATATATATATATATATATTATATATATATATATATATATATATATACAAGTAAAGATAAAAAAAATGATGACTAAAAATTAAATATGGAATGGGAGCAATTAATACTCCATATCCGAGAATTAAAAGAAACATTTGAAAAGTCTTACAAATGTGTAAGCCAAAAAAGGCAAACACAAAAAGAAACAGTAGATAATAAACATGCAAAAATTCTTGTAGACTCTTACAATCAGGTAAGAACCCTAGTGCATGAAAATAGGGAAATAATTAACAAGACAAACTTATCAAAATTATCCAAAATATTGATAAGGTTGCAGGCAAACCTAATAACTGTCAAGGATAAGTATGATTTAAAAATATATATCCCGACAATTTTCAATACGCCTTTAACATTAGACCAACAAAAAGCCCTAGCAGAAGAAGAAGATTCAGATACAAGCAAAGATATCGAAATAAATGAAAAATATCTACACGATCTCTCAATCCCTGCATTTATTACAGCAGAAGAGTCAGAAACAGAAGAAGACGAAAATATAGATTAAGATACAAATATAGTAGAAACAAAAGAAAACATAATGACAGATCCAGCTGCCCAACGGGCATATGTTAAAGAAATATCAAGTGCCATTCCGGAATTTAACGGACAAAAAATACACTTGCAAAGATTTGTAACAGCTTTGAAGCTGGTTGACCTGACAAAGGGAACGTTTGAATATTTGGCTGTAGAAGTCGTCAAATCAAAAATTGTAGGATCTACACTATATAAGGTTCAAAATGAACTAACGATAAAATCAATAATCCAAAAACTGCAAGACACTATTGTCGGTGAAATATCTGACGTTGTCAAAGCCAAAATGGCTAAAACAAGCCAAAAAGGCAAAACAGCAGAAAAATTTACAAATGAAATAGACAACCTACGAAAGCTCCTTGAAGCCTATACACACAAAAAGGAAACAACTATCGTGGTAATAACTTCAGAAATAATTATCGCGGTAGGGTTAACAACAGAGGTAATTATCAAAATAATGGATATTACCAAAACAATGGTTATAACCAAAATAACGGTTATAACCGAAACTATAATAACCAGACCAACAGTAACTACAGAGGTCGTGGTAATTATAGAGGAAACAACGGTGGTGGAAACAATAATGGATATAACTCCAATAACAACGCCAATGGTAATAACGATACCAATACAAACGCAAACAGACAAAATAACAACAATAATGTCCGACAAGTACAAACAACTTCGGAAAACCAATAAAGACCCTTAAGATAAAAACCCAGTAAAGAATATGGTTCACACTATCAATCTTAATCTTCTTAAATCTTAATCTTAATTTCACTTAAAAATGAAAACACAAATAAATTATATACATTACTAGTTGATACAGGTGCAGACATCTCTTTAATCAAAGAATCCTCAGACTCATTTAACAATGTTGACTATAAAAATATTACGCAAATATCAGGCGTTGGTGAAGGAACAACAAATTCAAAAGGTTTAGCAGCAATAGAACTTCTATCAGGCAACTATGCCATACCACATAATTTCCATATAGTAACGTCCAACTTTCTTATTCCATGTGATGGAATTTTAGGAATAGATTTCATGAAAAAATACAATTGTCAAATAGATTTAAAACCAGAAAACGATTGGCTCATACTGAGACCAGATAACCTCTATAATCCGATTAATATTCCGATAAATCATACACTCGAAAATAATTCGACAATTTTACGAGCTAGATCTGAAGTCGTCCGAAAAATAACTATAAATTCAGCAACCAGGTATATATTAATACCAAACCACGAAATCCAAAATGGTGTATTCATTGGAAATACCATTGCAGATTCTAAAAACACCTTTGTCCGAATTCTAAATACAACAAATAAAACAGCAATTCTTCAATTAAATACACTTAAAGTCGAACCATTGGATAATTACGATATAATTAAATCCAATAAAAATACAAATAAAGAAGAAATCTTAGAAAAACTTAACAAAAATTTCCCGCCTCAATTTAAAGAAATACTTAAAGAATTATGCACCAAATACACAGATATATTCGGAATAGAAACCGAACCGATATCAACTAATAATTTCTATAAACAAAAAATAAGAATGAAAGATGATGAACCAGTATACATAAAAAACAAGAGAGAACGCTATAGTCGGGTGCCCCGACTATCAGATACCCGTTACTCAGGTTAAGGGAGTGCGAGGGAGATGGAGATAGAAACTTTGATCACGCATAACTTTTTAACGAATGGTCCGATTTGAAAATTTTCTTCTTCATTTCGATAGGTATTGATAAACACAATAAAACTGCATTTTTACTTTTCCGAAATATTTAAATTTTTAAAATCATATATATTGATTGTGGGCGTGGCACCTTTTTGAAACAAACTTGCGCTGCGTAGGAACTCCTAGAATCTGCATGCAAAATGCCAATCTTCTAGCTTTTATAGTTTCCGAGATCTCAGCGTTCATACGGACGGACAGACGGAAAGACGGACGGACAGACGGACAGACGGACGGACAGACGGACAGACGGACATGGCTATATCGACTCGGCTAGTGATCCTGATCAAGAATATATATACTTTATAGGCTCGGAAACGCTTCCTTCTAGCTGTTACATACTTTTGCACGAATACAGTATACCCTTTTACTCTACGAGTAACGGGTATAATTACAGAATCCCCCACAGTCAAAAAGAAGAAGTAGAAAAACAAGTAGAAAAACTACTTAAAGATAAAATAATAGAACCATCAGTTTCAGAATACAATAGTCCATTACTAATAGTCCCGAAAAAATCATTACCAAATTGCGATACAATAAGATGGCGTTTAGTAATTGATTACCGCCAAATTAACAAAAAAATTTTATCAGATAAATTTCCACTACCAAGAATAGACGATATTCTTGACCAATTAGGTAGAGCTAAATACTTTTCATGTCTAGATCTAATGTCAGGATTTCATCAAATAGAACTCGAAGATACGTCTAGAAATATAAAGTCCTTTTCCACGAGCAATGGCTCCTATCGTTTTACACGATTACCTTATGGTTTAAAAATAGCGCCAAATTCTTTGCAAAGAATGATGACAATTGCATTTTCAGGTATCGAACCTTCTCAGCCATTCTTGTATATGGATGACCTAATTGTCATCGGTTGTTCAGAAAAAAAAAAAAAATCTTACAAACGTTTTTAATCTATGTAGAAAAAACAATCTTAAACTGCACCCAGAGAAGTGCACATTTTTCAGACACGAAGTGACTTTTCTTGGACACAAGTGTACTGACAAAGGTACTTTACCAGATAGTAAAAAATACGAAGTAATAGAAAAATACCCAGTCCCAACGGACGCAGACAGCGCTAGGAGATTCGTTGCATTTTGCAATTACTACAGACGTTTTATTAAAAAATTTTTCGATTACTCACGTCACATAACTAGATTATGTAAAAAGAATGTTAAATTTGTATGGACAGATAAATGTCAAAACGCATTCGAATACCTAAAAACCCAATTGATGAAACCCACATTATTGCAATATCCCGATTTTAATAAAGAATTTTGCATAACAACAGATGCAAGCAAACAACCATGTGGAGCTGTTCTTGCTCAAGATTACAATAACATTCAGCTACCAGTAGCCTATGCATCAAGATCCTTTACGAAAGGGGACAGTAATAAAAATACAACAGAACAAGAGCTAGCAGCTATCCACTGGGCAATTAACCATTTTCGATCATATATTTATGGAAAACATTTCACAGTCAAAACAGACCATAGGCCATTAACCTATCTATTTTCAATGACAAATCCAAGTTCAAAATTAACACGAATGAGATTAGACTTGGAAGAATATGATTTTACTGTGGAATATCTTAAGGGAAAAGACAACCATATAGCCGACGCGCTATCAAGAATATCAACGGATTTAAAAAATATCCAGACAAATAATAAAATTCTGAAAGTCACTACCAGAAATCAAAGTAAACAGAAAAATTCCTGCGCAGGAACAGAAAAAGAAAAATAAATTTGCCTAGGCATATTCTAAATAAAGCTTCTCAGCCCAACGTATACGAAGTCATTGTTAATGACGAGGTAACGAAAAGTAGTGACCTTGCGAATAACTGATTCACTTTGCTTACTAAAGCATGGAAAAAATGTTATAGCAAGAATTGATGTTAGCGATTTGTACACCAAAGAAATTCTCGACTTAGGTCAGTTCTTTCAAAGGCTTGAAAAAAAAGCCGGTATACTTAATATCAGCCAACTCAAAGTGGCACCGAGCGAAAAGATCTTTGAAACCATTTCAATGGAATCTTTTAAAATTATGGGCAATAAAAAATTATAATCATTAAGAGTAGCGCCGGTGACCCAATTATCAAATAATGATAAAGAGTAAGAAGCATTACTGTTTACATTCCATGATGATCCAATACAAGGAGGTCATACAGGCATAGCTAGGACATTAGCAAAAATAAAAAGGCATTATTATTGGAAAAACATGACCAAAGATATAACAAAATATATAAGAAAATGTCCTAAATGCCAAAAAGCAAAGACAACAAAACATACAAAGACCCCATTAACTATCACCGAAACGCCACAAACGGCTTTCGACAGTGTAATTGTGGATACGATCGGTCCACTACCTAAATCTGAACAAGGAAATGAATACATAGTAACGCTAATTTGCGATTTAACTAAGTACCTTGTAGCAATACCAATCAGGAACAAAAGTGCAAAAACAGTAGCAAAAGCTATATTCGAAGATTTTATTCTGAAGTACGGTCCAATGAAGACGTTCATTACGGACTTGGGAACAGAATACAAAAATTCGATAATTGAAGATTTATGTAAAAACTTAAAAATCAAAAACATAACTTCAACAGCACATCATCACCAGACTGTAGGAACCGTGGAGCGAAGCCACAGAACATTTAATGAGTTCATCCGCTCATACATCTCAGTTGATAAAACAGATTGGGATGTATGGTTGCAATATTTCGTATACTGTTTCAACACAACACCCTCTATGGCACATGACTATTGTCCATACGAGTTAGTTTTTGGTAAAACATCTAATTTAGCCAAACACTTCAATAGTATAGATAATATAAAACCATTATATAACACAGATGATTACGCTAAAGAATCTAAGTTTAGACTAGAACAAGCATTTAAGAGAGCTAGATTAATGCTAGAATGCCATAAACACAAACCAAAACTTAACTATGACAGAAATATTTTACTAAAAAATGAAACAGGGCACAAGCTAGACTATAAATACACTGGATCATATAAGGTAGAAAGTATAGAAGAAAGAGAAAACATAGTAATTTCAAATAACAAAAATAAGAAGCAAACAGTTCATAAGGATAGGTTAAAAATTTTTATTTCATAATCACTTTAATTCTCTTATATATATATCACGTATGACCATACACAATAAGAACCATACACAAAAAAACCATAATTAGATTGAAAAAAAAAAAAAAATAAAATAAATAAATTATATATAAATATCACTTTTGATTCAAAACAATACTTTCTGATTCAAAACAATTTATAATAAATTAAACTACATATAAAAAAAAAAAAAAAAAAAATATTTTCATTTATATTAAATATACACCTAGAAAATAACTCCATATAATTACGTTATTTTTCAAAAGGAGGGAGAAGTAGTATGTTCACATATCGAATGCACACTGTACTCAGTGTTACGCATCGATTTAAGTACAGACACCTTATTTGGCATTTTGCATTTGGCCACAATAACAAAACACAAATATATAAATCTAGCAGTTCCCGAGTGCCCGGTTATATGATCGCCCTCGAATGCGAGGGAACTGCAGTGTAAGCATATTTGATATGTGCGACCGCTCCGACGGCCAAGTGAACTTAGTATCTCTCTCTCTCATATATAAAGACAATTATACATAAGCGTCGACCGCCGCTCTGCCGGCGTCTCTGCCGACATAGCCGGCCGATCTTAGCTTTATGCAAACATGTAATAGAATTAAGAAATCAGAAATGAAAATAAAAAGCTTGGGAGCGTACCTCTGAGTCGCTCCCAATTCAACAACAATTTTTTAACAAAGGAAACATAACACAGTGCCCCGCTAAACCAATCGATACCGTGTTTTCGCTAAAAAATAGTTAAAAGCATAATAAATGTTTAAAAAATATGACGGCTTTAATTTTTAACTTTTTACTTTTTTTAATACCCGATTAAAGAGTAGGCGTCTTATCCAGCAGACGCTTGCATATATATATCTCCATCTCTTTTCCACCCCCTGAATTTGCTTTATGATTATCATTTTTTTCTTCGAAATACCATTACAAAAAATAATTAAAGTTGGTATAACTATATTTTCGCAATCCAATACCAAATAGTAATTTCTTGAATATGTTCAAAAAAAATACACTCAAAAGAATGAAATATACATATGCAAAAGCCCACACAGAAATACACACATGTATTCGATCCACCAAGGGAATTCATTAATCTCTATATATAAAGCTATCAGTAAGAAAACTGGGAATCAACGCACAGCCAAAACCACTGGTTAACAATATTTATATGCATTTTTATTACATTCTAATAACTTTAAACTGATTTGCTAAGATTTATTGGGGCTCCCCAAAAGGCCCCAATCGCTTCCACTTGGAAAAAAGGTAAATTTTCCTTTCAAAAATTCTGGACGCTAAACCGTTTAACCAATCGAATCCGTGTTTTCGCCCAAAAATAGTTTAAGACATTATAAATGTTTAAAAATATTGACCGCTTAGATTTAAGGCTTTTTACTATTTTTAACACCCGTTCTAAAATTACAATTTAGCCAAAAATATCTTCAAATGTCGAAAAATGGCGCTTCTAAACTGAGTATCAAAAATTCATTCGGTAAAGTTTTTCCTTAAGCTTTAACGATTCATTTGATGGTTCTAGCTATCTTCTAAACAAAGAAACTAAGCAAAAAGTCGATCTATTATCGAATTTATGTGCTCTTTACAGTTATTGCTGCCAGAATAC